GTCAGTAGATAAAACAAACACTATTTAAAAAGTGGGGCATTTACTCATATGAGTATCCACTAAAAATAACATTTGAAGTAATAAAGCATACATTATATATATATATATATATATATTTATGCTGCTAATGCAATGCTCTTTAACTAGAATCGAGTTCTCCTAGCCTCCGACATCTTTTGTAGAGTAAAAACATAAAATTTCCCTTACTTACTGCTATGTGATTATAGCTTAGGGGTAGAAACTGACTGATGCCAAATTAGTTGGGTTTTGAACTCAGCTTCTTGAAACAATTGGATGTCTAGCCACACTGATGAACTGTGATACAGCAAAACAGTCTGCAGATGACTTATATATATATATATATATATATATATATATATATGGTAAAGGTAACAAATTTGTTGGTATATAATCCAAGTGGATCCTAGCAATATAAAATATTAAAACTAGTCCACAAAAAGAGCTCAATGCATTTATTATTACAGAGCAAATAATTAATAGACAATAAAATCCAGAATCATCTCATATGGGGAATAAGCTTATTTCGGCAGTTGAAAATAGAAGCCGTGTGCCTTATCAACCCTGGTATGAATTGAGTTCATGTCAAAAATAGAAATTAAACAGTGAAAGCTTTTAAAAAAAAAAAAAAAAAAAAAAAGTGTGCATGTATGTATGTCTGATAAAATATAATTTTAACTAGCTTAAAAGCAGCCCTACCAGACAGTATTTAAACTCCTGCGAAGAGATCCTGATTGGACTTTCATCACAAAAGGTAGGGAGGATTAGATGAGATAGGCAACAAACTACAGAACAACTCCAAATTGAGCGCTGCATTTAAGAATTGCATTAATATTTAAGCTTACCTTTTAAAAGTTCAACGATAATTCTTCTGCAAATTTGTCGAAAAAAAAGAATCACGTAATAAAAAAAAAGTATAATCACAATAATGAAAATTTGGGAATCCAAAATTTCAAGATTGCAGGTCTGGATCCTGGATCCGGCCCAGAATGCTTTTAATTTGCTCATGGAGTCAGCCTGATTCCAAAATGGTATGATATGATGTGCTAGGAGTAAAGTTGAAAAAGTGTGATACACTGCCATTCAAATATTGTATTCTGTATTCATGGTTAAAGTGCTCAATATAAGGAATAGAACATATGTAAATATAAAAATGGACATTGAAGTCAACACCCAGAGGTGACAATCTGTTTCATGCTAAAAGTAATCATCAGGCTATCTGTACACATGGCACGATGATTGCATTTAGCATGAAACAGACTGTTGCCTCTGGATGTTGACTTCAATGTCCACTTCATATATATATATATATATATATATATATATATTATATGAACAAATAAAGTGCAGTGTCTGTCCATCCATTTTTCCATCTCAGCGAATCAAACAACCTGAAGTGACTGTAGTTACACATGATTAAACATTAAATAAATAACTCATTTAAAGTTAAATTTAAATATCAAATAGAGGGAAAGATTTAAAAGACAATTCTTTATTAAAAGTTTAACTTTAATTTTGCTTTAAATTCAAATGGCAATTGATATTGTCTAATTAAACCATAATCAAAACTTAAGCAGGGCATGAAACATTGCTCAGGTTTTTTTCTTTTTCTCTAGCACATGTACTGTGATGTATTCAAAATTGTACATACTTCAGGTTCCATAAGCTCTTTTAAGAGGGACTTTGCGTGAAGGTATAATAAAGAACAGTGATTTTAAAAGAAAATAAAAATTGCATGTAAAATAAATGGAAACAAAATTTTATTATATCTAAATTCTCATAACTCTTATGTATACAAGATGCTGAAGATAAAAGGCTGAAGACCCAAAAGCCCTCTGCAGGAGTTCTCCTAAAGTCAGCCCAAAGGAGGCATCTAGGCTCATATATCTCAGTCACGTCATCAGAAAAGTACTTTTGTTGTTCTTTATTGTATTTTTCTTGTGTGTAAACAAGAGATTTCTTTCATAGATGTACTGTGTAGAAATTGTCCATATGTTCAGAGCGTTTTCAACTATGAACCATAATCCTTGAAAATTGCTATAATAATAACAATCCTTGAAAATTACTAATAGATTAGGGAAAAGCACTCAGAAGAAATGATCATTTGGTCAAATCTATCGTCACACTTGCTACAAGAAAGAAGATCTCCTGTCCATATGCAAGAAAAAAATATTTAACAGTACACGGTCAGTCATTTTTAATAAAACATATTAGACAAGGCTTGCTACCCATATATATGTAGGATTTAAATTTGGATGAGTATCCAACTGAATGGTAAATATATCATTTGAAAAAGTGCAGAATCTGTGTCAGCAGTTGATTTACTTCGGTATATTCTTCATTTTGCCATGTCAGATGTCTTTCATTTTTTGTTTTGTTTACTCACAGCTTTTCTCCCAACAGAATGTTTTGGGGAGGGCCTGCTCATCTGCCCTCAATTTTCCTTTAGTAACAACTACCACCAGATTCATCTTGACTTTTTTTTTTTTTTTTTTTTTTTTTTACAAATTCACCCCCAAGCAAGGCAATAATGCCACTAAGGTGCTACTGGAGTGAAAGAGAATGAAAAGATTTTAGAAGAAACTGGAAACCTAATCCTAAACAGAGAAACAAGGGATAAACCTCTACTCCTGTTCAAAAGGACTGGGGAGGAGTGTGAACCTATCAACTCCTATTGAGGGGAGAAAAAAAAACAATTTAAATAAAGAAAAATACAATAATAAAAATAAAAAGTAAAACAAAATTAGGTGGAGTTTGGGTGGAGACATTCTATAAAAAAAAAAAAAAAATAGGGATCAATAATAGAAGGAAAATTAAAATGAAGAACAATGAGACGTTGGTGGGGTCATAGGTGTATGGTCGACTTCAAATATATTTTTATTTTGGTAGGGTTAGGAAACTGTTAGTGTATTATTAACTATTAACTTTCAACTTAATACAAGTTGTAAAAATTCTTATCACCTAAAAATCAAGCAGAAAATTAATTTACTCCTGTCACAATAAAGCCCCCACCCCACAGGGACTCACTTTAAAGTAGGTACACTAAAGACAGTCTTTAACAGACTTGTTAGTTACCAAAATGACCAGTAAGATTGCAAATCTAATAAATGTAGCTGTAGACAAATATTTTTAAATAAATCCAAAATTAAAAAATACAATTGCAACAAAGAAAAAAAGAAAAGAAATAATAATGATAACTAGGAAAACCTGTGAAAATTTCAGTTTTCCTAATTGAATTTTCTGATAAATCTTAATTCTTCAGTTAATGACTGAATAAGCTAATGGCAAGTTCTATGACAATAAAATTTCCATAGAAATTCTCCTATCACATCATTAAATGCTTAACAAAATATTGCAATAATAGTCATAAATATGAACACTGGCTGTTATTTTAAGAAGTAAGGGGATACAAATGAAAAGATTAAACACTATCTTCCCTTCTTTCATTCATTTTTTTCAGTGAAACTAACTTTTGTTTTTCTATGCAATCAAAATAGAATACTTCATTATTTATGAGCTATTGGCAGGAGATGTTAAACGCTTTGTGATTGATGGATTCCTTTTTTATGGCTTATCAACCTTTTGTAGGTTATTTAAAGCTAGAAAACATTTTTAGATTGTAAGAAATTTTATTTTTTGACATAAATGATTTAGTGATACATGTCTTACTAATTATAATTAACCCATAGCTGGGGAGAGAAGAGGTGGATTCATACCTTTCCTAAGAATATGTGTGCATAAGTGAATATAAGGAACCCAACTAGAATTGGAACTCGACTGACAATTCTGAGTCATTATTCATTACACCACCTGCACATCCAGGCTTACAGCACCTGGGATTCCCAAGTAGTCACCCATCTAGATACTGACCAGGCTTGACATTGCTTAACTTCAGTAATTATACAGTGTTTCAATTTGATGTGCCTATAAATCAGATTTGTATTGGAGATCCAAACCCCCAGAAGCAAATATTTGGAAGCAGTAATACATAGACTGTCCTGAAGCTAGCGCCAGACCCCCAACTATTGTTGATGTGGGTGACTTATGCATTGCAATGTTTCAGTTTGTATTTGTAGTTTGTAATAAAATGAGAACTATGCTTATTCATTTTGGTTTCAATACCAAAATAAAAACAATTTTGAAAAATTTCAAACCATATTTTAAAAACAAGAAACACACTTGCTTTTAAGCACAACTTTAAAATGACATGGATGTTAGTGTACCTTGGGCATGGATTTTCCTTCTGTCAAAAGTCACCGACACAGATCTTTCACGCCATCAAAGTCGTTCTGTCTATATCTCTGGGATAGGTATTATGATTATTTGCATCATTCGGACTTCATCTTCATTGCCATATTCACAATGCTTCAGCCGTTGTACGCTATGGCCTTCTTCAGGTGATTGGAATTTCGAACTGAACACTTTATTTCACCCACCTTCCCTTTAACTCAACTCTCCAAGTTTTTTGGTTCACCACTGCTGTAGAATGTCTTTATCCACTTTATCTAAGGGTTTGGTACAAAATTCCAATCACCTGAAGAAGGCCAGAGCGTACAATGGCTGAAACATTGTGAATATGGCAATGAAGGTAAAGTTGTTGGCACAGATATTTTATTCCATCAAAATAGTTGGGATTCATTTTTCTTACAGTCAAATTAATTATATATTCATGTTTCCTATGCATAATTTCTATAATTATTTCATTTTTTTTCACAATAATTATTGAAAATTTAAACCAAAGTATTTTCAGTTGAGCTGGAATCTGAAATCTTTAATTATTACATAATTGAATAAATTAATGAGATAAAGATGGCTATAGATAAATTATTGATAATAGAATTAGATGAAAAATCAAAGTGAAAGGAAAGAGAACAAGTGAATGAATTGCTATCATTATACATGCCATAGAATTATCATATACTTTCCCAGTGCTAGCTATATGGAGAACAAGACTGTTCTTTTGCTGCCAAACAGATACACTACTATATGGTTAGAGAGAGAAGAAAAAGAAAAAGAGAAGAAAAAGAGAAGAAAAAAAAAAGAAAAAGAGAAGAAAAAGAAAAAGAGAAGAAAAAGAAAAAGAGAAGAAAAAGAAAAGAGAAGAAAAGAAAAAGAGAAGAAAAAAAAGAGAAGAAAAAGAAAAAAGAAAAGAAAAAGAAAAAAAAAAAAGAAAGAAAAAAAAGAAAAAGAAAAAAAAAGAAAAGAAAAAGAAAAAAGAAAAGAAAAGGAAAAGAAAAAAAAAAGAAAAAAAAAAAGAAAAAAGAAAAAAAAAGAAGAAAAAGAAGAAAAGAAGGAAAAGAAGAAAAGAGGAAAAAAGAAGAAAAGAGGAAAAAAAAGAAAAGAGGAAAAGAAGAAAAGAGGAAAAAGAAGGAAAGAGGAAAAAGAAGGAAAGAGGAAAAAGAAGAAAAGAGGAAAAAGAAGAAAAGAGGAAAAAGAAGAAAAGAGGAAAAAGAAGAAAAGAGGAAAAAGAAGAAAAGAGGAAAAAGAAGGAAAGAGGAAAAAGAAGAAAAGAGGAAAAAGAGGAAAAAGAAGGAAAGGAAGGAAAGAGTAAATAAAAAATGTGGGAAAGAAGCAGATGAAAAACACTTTGAAGGCGACCAAATAAAGTCAATTATGAACTGCTTTTGAGGAAAAGAAGAAAGAAAGACAGGCCTAGACGATGTGGGTGTAATTTCTCTACCCAGCCCCACATTCGTTGCTGCTGCTTCAAGAACAACCAAATACTTGGAATGATTAGCAGGAAGCAGAAAGAAGCAAAAGCAAAAGAAGCAGGAAGAATTTGAAGCCAAGATTTTTTATTCTTATTTGCACAACATTAAACAAAGATCTGTCTATATTTCTGAGATGAGGTATTATGTACACTATTTACATCGTTTGGACAGTTGTCCTCATCTTTATTACCATTGCAAGTTCTGGCCTTCTTCAGGTGATATATGTTGGAATTTCAAAACAAACCCCTTATTTAGTCCACAGGGGTAGATTGTCTCCAAGGAGTGGATAAATATATTGGTTGAGCAATCCATAAAGTAACTTAAACCAAAGTTGTGAGTTCAAAAAGAAAATATAGAAATTCAAGATGAATATCAAAGTTTTATTAAACGTGTCCAGTGACACTATTTACATTATTCAAACTATTGTCCTCATCCTTGTTGCCATATTTATCACAATGTTTCCACTGTTGTATGCTCTGGCCTTCTTCAGGTGGTTGGAATGTTGAACTGAACCCTTTATTTCACTCACTGGGGTAGACTGTTCTAGTTCCTTTATCCACTGTGCTATGTGTCCTTAAGGACATCTGTGTATGAATTTCTGGTACTTATAAACTTAATGTCTTCGGCAACCATTTTTTTACCAGTGCTCATATTGCAATTTTTGCTGTTATCTTTTTATGTTTTTTACCAGAACTCATATTGCAATTTTCATTGTTATTATTGCTTTTCTCTGGCACTCCTTATTACTGGTACCCATATTGTATTTATTCCTATGCTTGGTCGGCTAAGGAGATTTTTGTGGCCTAGGATATGTGCTGATTCCTTAAGTTTACGAATTTTTCAAAGATGTTCTTTGTCTATGATTTCAACCTGATCCCACAAAGGGCGGTGATCTCCCTTTTCTCTCCCTATGTGGTCAGCCATGCCTGATTTCTGCACTTCCCCCTCGTGTTACAGCTTTTTGGTGTTCTTGAAGCCATACTTTAATGGGGCAGCCTATCTCTCCTTTATATTTCTTTCTGCAGTTGCACTCCTGTGCAGCTGCGAAAAGAAATATAATGCAGAATGTGAGTTCAATACCTGGTTAAGGCAGTTGAGAACTTGGAGAGGTGAATTAACAGGAGATAACTGATATCCATTAGACATGGAACTAGAACAGTCTGCTCCAGCAAGCGAAATAAAGGGTTAAGTTCGACATTCCTACCACCTGAAAACGAGTGGAGCATACAACGGCTGAAACATTGTAATAAATATGGCGACAAAGATGAGGACAATAATCCGAATAATGTAAATAGTGTACATAATACCTAATCTCAGAAATATAGACAGATATTGCCATTAGCTTATTCAGTCATTAACTTAAGAATTAAGATTCATCAGAAATTTCACATAGGAAAACCATGAAATTTTCACAGGTTAAAATTACTAAAAATGAATATGTATTGCATAATTTAAACTGAGATATTCACTGGTGGACTGGATCTAAAAACATCAACTGCCAGGAGACAAAGTGGACCCACCCACACCTTCAATGCTATCATTTAATTTTCATAATGAATAAATAAAACGGCCGAAACATTGTAATAAATATGGCGACAGAAATGAGGACAATAGTCTGAATAATGTAAAAGCTCACAGCAAGTTTAACAAAATATTGCAATAACAATCAAAAATATGAATGTTTTAAGTGAGTAGAAATTAAAAGATTACACATTTCTAACTTCCCTTTTCTTTCTTTCTTTCATTCATTCATTTTCTCACTGAAACCAAGTAGTGTATGTCTTGTTTTTCTAAGCAATCAAAATGGAATAATCCATTATTTATGAGCTCTTGGCAGACCATGTTAAACATTTTGTGACTGATCAATTCATTTTTATGGCTTATCCATAGAAATTCTATCACATCATTAAATTTGAACTTAACTTTAACAAAATATTGCAATAACAATCATAAATATGAATGCTGGTCGATATCTTAAGAAGTAAGGGGGTACAAATGAAAAATTTGAAATTGACAACATTTTCCATTTCACTGAAACAGCCACTTTTTCCTTTCTTACTGAAACCAAGTAGTGTCTTTGATATGTTTTTCCATGCAATCAAAACCGAATAGTCCCTTATTTACGAGGTATTGGCAAACGCTTCTTTCTTTTTTTTTCACTGAAACCAAGTAGCATTTCTCATGTCTCGTCTTTCCATGCGATCAAAACAGAATGGTTCATTATTTATGAGGTAACAGCAGGGTGTAACGGTCGTGCAAACTAATGAAGGGAAAGACAAGTACAATTATAAGTTTTTTTAAGTTGAAAAACATGTTATCTTTCTGAAAGCAACATTGAAATCCTATCTGCACTGATGGAGCCATCAGTAGAAATTGAAATGTTCTGAAAGTTAGCAATCTCATAATACGTGCAAGACACTTTTTTTGTGTGGCTGTTCATTCATAGATTTGTAGTGTAACAGAAAGGATAAAGTGTCAGCCTGTCCCTTGCTAACTAGCAGAACGTGTGCATGTGTCTGCATGCTTAAACCAGAGATAATTGATTCTGTATAAATGGAAAGTTTTGGCAGTACACATTGCCGTTGTTGTCATCATCATCATCATCGTGTAGCATTCATTGAAATAAGATATGCAGGCAGCCAAGTGTTGTGTATTTTCTAAGTCTGTGGTTTGCTGCTCACGTTAGTTGGTTCCTGTCTCCGGAGCCTTTGTCATATCAGCATCACAGTGATGAGAAGAGAAACAGACAAGAGAAGCTTTCATTTAGATGAATGGCAGGGGCGAGGGTTCAAAGAAGAATAGCCTCCACAGAGAATGAAAGGTAATTTGTTAAACGTACACATGCACTTACCCAGTGTTTGCATATTTAAGAGGCACTAAGATTAAACTCGCATACGTCGATGGTATTTCACAGACATGCATACAAACTTTTTTTATTGTTTTAATAAATTATTGATTTCTTGATAAAAACTCAGTTTTAAAGGGTTCACAGAGAAATTTATATGTATTGATTTGTCTGTTTAAGTAATAAAAATATAATATACTAGCAGTAGAGCCCGGCGTTGCCCGGGGATGTAACAGTAAGAGATAGATCAAGTATCGACCATCATAAAGACTGAAAAATAAAATTGACAAAGATTATTGTTTAAGGTTGACGGACACGCATGTCTTAATTAGTTTTTTGTTTTGTTTTGTTTTTTTGCGAATTGGTCAAACCCAAACTCAAACAAAAACATTGTTTTCAATCGTTATGAGTCTACCGATTGAATAGAATTTTATTATAAACAATTGTCTTGTAGATGGAATTTTTAAAGCATTCTGAATGTAAAAATAAAGAAAAAAGTGTGCAAGACAATAAGAAACACTACCTGCCAAAAAAAAAAGTGAAGTTTTGTTGAAATCGGTTGAAAAGTGTAGGAAATGCGATCCACTATATAAACGAACAGACACACACACACACACAACCTGGGTTTTATAATAAGTATGATATTCTGCTTTCACAATTGAATACATGGTAGATGATACTCAGCTTTTGTGCATATACATGTTTGTTCCAAGATGTATTGTTAAATATAACAGACAACAAATGTCTATGTTTGATCATGCACCGTTCTAAGCTTCTTATAGTTGCTTTAATTTCGGGAGAAAATAAAAACAAAAACTGTCCAACATTTGAATATTTTTTTTATTATGCTGTTCCACGATCTAAACTTTCAACTCACATGAGCCATCATCAGAGGGGTTATATAGACATTTCAACAAAGATATTCACCATCAAAGATGATATCCTGTTATGTATACATAGAAGTTTGCTATGCGATGATAATAGCCGCAGAATAGCAGACACAGGTTGTAAATTTGTGATGCGGTTCTATGACGTCGTACCACATGAGAAAACGAAATATTAACAAAAGAACGATATGTTTAGATGCAATGTAATGTGTCATGACTAGTTTGAAATTCCACATAGCATAACAGGATATCATTTTTCATGGTTAATATCTTTGTTGAAATGTCCATATAACCATTCTGATAATGGCTCATGTGAGCCGTAAGCTTAAATTGAGAAAGAGCATAAAAAATATAATAATAAAAATATAATAATAAAAAATATCCAAATGTTGGACAGTTTTTATCATTATTTTCTCCTAAAATTAAAGCAACTATACAAAGCTTAGAATGGCTCATGATCAAGCATGATAGACATTCGTTGTCCGTTATATATATATATATATATATATATTATACGAAAACCTTTATATAATCTACTCTTGTAGATTATTCTTATTCTGTGATACAAATCTAATACAGAGACATGGTATCTTGTCCAATTCTTATTTAGTACTACTCAGCTATTGCTTGTCTTATTTCTACAAAGGCCAAGTATACACTGCCCACCCCAGGGATTGAACTCACAATTACTATGTCACCAAATTCATGAACCATCATTTTAATCCAGTAGGCTAATTCAGAGAGAAAAATTATTTATTCTAAGAGACTTTGAGAAATACTCGAATGCAAATAGATAAGTTTTTTTCCCGCCAAAGTGGCATAAATTATAAAAGGAAATATTTTGCCTTTGACATTGGACTTTAGGTTCACCTGTTCTTTGTTTACGAAACATCAAATAGAATCTCTTAATTTTAGGCTGACCTGCTCCCCTCCTATTTACATGACAATGGACAGCCACTTTTAATTTTTCCTAGCGGAAACATTCAAACTAAATTCGTTTAATAGATGCACATTTGCATGCATTTACACTGTTCAGACAGTTGTCTTCATCTTTATTGCCATATTCACAACATTTCGGCCATTGTATGCTCTGGCCTTCTTCAGGTGATATACACTGGAATCTCGAACTGAACTCTTTATTTAGTCTACTAGGGAATTAACTGCAACTGAGATATCAAAAGAAAAAAAAAAAAGGCATGGCCTTATGGAATTAGAATAATCTACACCTGTGGACTAAATAAAAGGTTTCGTTCGAAATTCCAACAAATATCACCTGAAGA